CGAGTGGTGTTGTCATTACCGACAGTAAACTTTGTTCTATTAAAGAAGGCAGCTTTGACTCTCATAAGCCCCTTCCAAAACGGCAAGTCAGTCGGTCTCACTGTCACCTGGGACAAAGTCTTAGACTGCAGATACTTACTACAGAGAATCTGCGCCCACGTTGCCTCGGTCTCAACTCACAACTTATACAGCCACTTACTAAGAAGACATATGTTCTTGACTTTAAGATTCTCAACACCAAGGCCCCCTGGTCCTTAGGTCGACAGATGATATCCCATTTGGCGAGTCGGTACTTTCTCTTTAGCTCATCACTCTGCCAGAAGAATCGGGATCGATAGAAGTCCAGCCTTTTCCTAACCCCAACTGGGACTTCAAAGAAAGATAAGAGAAACATGGGCATACTTGTGAGCACCGAATTGATAAGAATCAATCGGCCTCCATATGACATGAGTTTGCCCTTCCAGCAACTCAGTTTCTTCTCAAACCGATCCTCGATGCACTTCCATTCTCTGTTTGTCAGCTTACGATGGTGAATGGGTATCCCTAGGTACATGAAAGGTAATGCCCCCAATTCGCATCCAAACAATTGCCTATAAGCCCCTTGTTCCTCATTGGCTCTACCAAAACAGAACATCTCGCTTTTATAAAAGTTAATCTTTAGTCCGGTCAATTGTTCAAATAAGCATAACACCAGCTTCATATTTTTCGCTTTTGCCAAGTCATGCTCCATTAAGATGATTGTATCATTAGCGTACTGCAGGATGGACACACCACCATCAACTAGACGAGGCACCAAGCCACCCACCTGACCGGCCTCCTTTGCCCTACCTATCAGGATTGCCAACATGTCAATCACAATGTTGAACAGAATAGGAGACATTGAATCACCTTGTCTCAGGCCCTTGTGTGTCTGAAAATAATGACCTATGTCGTCATTCACTTTAATTCCAACACTCCCTTTCTGCGTGAAAGATTCTACCTGGCATCGCCAAGCTTCATCAAAACCATTCATGCGTAAGGCCTGTTGAAGGAAAGGCCATTTGACTTTATCGTACGCTTTCTCGAAATCCACCTTGAAAACAACTCCATCTAGTTTTTTCGTGTGAATCTCATGGAGCGTTTCATGAAGGACCATCACCCCTTCTAGGATGTTCCTGTCCGACATGAAAGCAGTTTGAGTAGGCTGCACCACAGCATGCGTAATCTGTGTGAGCCTAATCGTTCCTACCTTGGTATTCTTTTTGAAACTAACATTAAAAAGATAGATGGGCCTGAATTGCTCGATTCTAACAGCCTCTGTTTTCTTAGGAAGCAGGGTTATCGTTCCAAAATTCAGTTGAAAAAGCTGAAGCTGTCCAGAGAATAAATCATGGAACATCGGCATCAGATCTCCTTTAATAATATGCCAGCACTTCTTATGAAACTCAGCCGGGAATCCATCCGGGCCGGGAGCCTTATTATTTTTCATCTGCGATATGGCCTCAAATACTTCTTTCTCAGAAAAAGGAGCAGCTAAAATATCATTCTCAACAGCAGTAAGTTGAGGCACGTCCTCAATCCTAGACTCATCCAGAGACACACAGGTATCCTCTGAAGGCCCAAATAACTGCTTGTAATACTCAGTAATGTATAATTTTAGGTTCTCCTGACCAAGAATCGTTAATTCATCTTGTTCAAGCTGAAAGATCCTCTTCTTCCTGTGCTTGCCATTGGCTACCATGTGGAAGATTTGAGTGTTTGCGTCCCCCTGAACTACTCTTCGGACCTTGGCCCGCAGTGCCCACTTTAATTCTTCTTCACGAAGAAGCTCTTTCAGCCTCATCTCTGCGTCAAGCTTGGCATGAAGCTCTGAGGCCGGCAGAACCGTGGTTTCTGCTTTTATATCTAGGGACTGAATAAGGGTAAGGAGTCGTTCCTTTTCGACCTTATAAATCTCACTAAGATGCTTAGCCCACCCGCGTAGGAAACTTCTCAGGTGCCTAATCTTATTCTGCCAACGCTCAAGCGCAGTCCTACCTCCTACATCCTTAGCCCACTCTCTGGCTACAAGATCAAAGAAGCCTTCTCTTTCAAACCAAGCGAACTCGAACAAAAATAAATCTTTGTTTCCCAGATGGGTGACCTCACCAGAGTCAAGAAATAAAGGCGTGTGGTCAGAAATACCACGAGAAAGTGCCTGAACTGTTACAAAGGAAAATTTCTGTTCCCATTCGACGCTAGCCAGTACACGATCCAACTTTTCAAACGTTGGGTTTGGCATCGCGTTAGCCCAGGTGAACTTTCTACCCGAAAGCTCTATCTTTCTCAGATCCAAGCTTTCAATGATAGTATTAAATATGAACGATCATCTACCGTCAAAGTTATTATTCTTCTTATCACGCCTTCTAATGATGTTAAAATCACCCCCATCAGGATTGAAAGCTGCTCCCTCTGCTTACATATGATCTAAATGTTTTTTTAGGGAGGGAGCACATGGAACGAAAGTAAATGGGATGAGTCAACCCATTCCTGCCCTTCTAGGTCATCGGGTTACCACCAAAATATTGTTCATCTTGAATAGTTGTTCATTGTTTAAAATTTTACGTGTGCGACCACTTCCCCATTTTTTAAAAAGCAATCCCACATTACATATATTGAAAATATTATATTTATTTTATTAAATCTTAAAATTCTCTTCTCTGGGTGATTTCTGTTCAGAAAATGTAGAACTAGGTTATAATGTGAAAACACGATCCTTACAAAAATGAATTCTTCATTTGAATTTGCATCATTCTGCATTACTACTACACGTAGCTTTTTCTGGGGTCATATTTGGGGTATTGCTTACAACACTGGTAATTACTAGTGCTATTTTCGCCCAAACTTATCTTTGGAACCTGTAACCAGTAAAGGGAACTACAACTAGGGCCAGTAGGGCCTCAAAGTGCACCGTTGCACAAAGATAAGCATTTACCGGGTCGCAAAATTATTTACATTGGTAATTCCTTACACATGATAGAAGAATTACCCCTACTACGAACATAGCTGGGCCATATTACCAATCAGACAAAATTGGGACGGAAAACATGATATCAGTTAACTCCTGCCTTCTTAAGCCAAAAAAAAGATAATTGAACATATAAATGCTCCTAGCCAACCCGCCAACCTGAGGCCTCCACGCGCGCGAAGCTCGTTGGCCGTGCGATCTTTTTACTGTAGCAGTGTTTTGGCTGCTGGCAGCAGCACCGCCGTTAGTTTTTTTTCACTTCCGGCTAGCAGTCCACCCCGATGACCATTGGGCCCGGGTGTATGTGGGGTTGCTTGTTTGAGATGGTGGGTATCTGAGGTCCCGTCGCTCTAGAAAACGAACACGGTGAAAATCCTAGCCTACCGAGGGCCTCCTCTCATCCCCAATCCCTTGCCTCCTCTTCTCCCTCAATCCCTATCCTCTCCTTCTCCCAAATCCGCCGCCTCCTCCTCTCCTCCCCAATCCGCCGCCTCCTCTTTTCCTCCGCAATCCGTGAGCCCTCACCACCAAGAAGCCACGGGTGCGCCGCCGCTGGAAGAAAAAAAGAAGAGGAGGTGGCGCGAGGACCAGCGGCGGCAACGGCCTGGGAGCCACCGTGGAGCAGGTGGAGATGCGGGGCGGCGATGAAGGCGTGTGAGAAGATGGCCTGAGCGTCCTCGTCAAGGGCAGTTTTGGCTACCTCCTCCCGCCTCGGCTTGTTTTTCTCTCCTCCACCGCTGCTACTTCCTCGCTGCTCTCCAATGAGTGTCTCTGTCTCCTCTTATCATTGCCATTTTCTGATTGTATTGAAATTGATTCAAAAGGAAATCAGTTTGTTTGCTGCCAGTTAGTTTGATCATTCATGTTTTCTTGTTCCCCATAGGATTGGGTTTGTCCGCTTGGTGGAGCAGGCAGGGAGCAAGTAGGCAAATATGGGAGAAGGAGAGTGACCCTGACGAGATGGCTGCCATAGGGTCGTGACCTTCTTTAGCATGCACATCGGCACCGTCCCCGCGTCCGCAGCAGGGGGACGACAATGGCTGCAAGTGACGGCACAGGAGCCCATCTTGGTCGAGCACCCTCCCAGGTTCGTGTTTCTCCCTATAGTTCTCTTAATTTTCTTGCACACATTTTTTTAGTTTGCATATATTCTTGCATATGTGCATTTTTTTTAGTTTTGCCTCACTGCACAAGCCTTGACTGGGCCATGTCCTTTATGAACCTCCATGGGGAACCCCCACAGTTATTTTGTTCTTTTGATTTAATTGAGTTCAGTAGATTAGCAAAGGGTCTTTTGATTTTGTTGAGTTTAGTATATTAGTAAAGGGTCTTTTGATTTCGTTGGCCATATAGGATTTTACTACTGTTATGGCAAAAGAAGGCTAAAGCTGGGAAATACAACAATGTCAGGAGCCGGCCGAGGTAAAGAGACCTAAGTTGACAAGCAGGGTTGTGCAGTTATTTTTCTCTGCTATTCATTGAGCATATCAGGAGATTGATAGACAGTGTGAGAACTGGTACCTAAAATAATTTCTTCTGAATCACATAGTGGTTCCTAACATTTAGCATTTCTAAAATTTGCCATTTTTAGCTAGATCCAAAATGCAGAGAAGCAAGGTTTATTTTTCTAGAGCTCCTATATTGCAGCTGGTGCTATTTTGTTATGTCAAATTGTGTATTTTTCCAGCTTCCCTTCCTCATGTATGAGGTGAGTACTAATTTCACTTCCTTTCCCCTCCTATGATTAATCCTCTTTGTAACCCCAATAGGGTTCTTATTTATTGTCTATATGTATTTACAATGTTTGATTACGACCCCAATGAGGATAAAGAGATTTTAATATTTTTTGTGGGTGTGTGCAGCTTGTCTATGGTGGGATGGGGATTCGGAGGATAAAGGTTATGGCAGTAAGGAGGTCAAGCGTGAGACGTCACATGTCAAGGGGATTTACTATTTAGTCTCTTCTAATCAGGTGAAGAGATACTGCTGGTTTAAACGGAATCCATACTTTAACATGATTTCTCCCAATTCAACAAAGTCAGGTACTACTCATGTTCTTTCATGGTATGGCTTATGTGACTACGAAGTATAATACTTTCTGTTATTTCTTTGATCCCCCAATACAGGTACTACTCATGTTCTTTCATGGTATGGCTTATGTGACTATGAAGTATAATACTTTCTGTTATTTCTTTTATCCCCCAATACTGTTAGCTTTCTAGATAAATTCAAAATTCACTGACCTGGAGATCTCTCACTTAATTTGCGGCTATGGAGCTACTCGAGGCAGCAGAACATTATGCCACACGGAGATGGGGATGGCCATGCCCGCGCTGATGCCGTCGATCGTCGGTGAGAGCATCACCGTCAACAACGGCTCCAGCAACCTCTCCAGGAGCTCCTCGGGCGACACCAACTCCAACATCATGTTCTTCACGCCCAGAAGCAAAAAAGCGAAGGTGCTCATCGACAGCGACGACGGCATGGTCACCAGCCTCAGCAAAATCGAATCCCAAGTAGGACAAGCTTCACATGTATACACTTCACATCCATCCGCACTCTGCTGCCCGTCAATTGTTTAATGCTACAGTTCTAACCTTGGACCAAATTCAGTTTGGCATGTCAACCACGTCTTTAGACATGTCCGGCATGGACGACTATCTGCAGCTGCAGCAATACTTCATCGCATGCACAGTCCGCACCAAGCGTGGCTGCGCCACTCACCCGCGAAGCATCGCTGAGAGGATTAGTTAATTTCCTACAACATTTTTGGTGTTTGTCTTGGTGAGACATGTTTGTACTGATTATTTTTCTTTCTTATGTTGTTTAGGAAAGAAGAGCAAGGAATAGCAAGAGGCTAAGGAGGCTGCAAGACCTCGTGCCCAATATGGACAAGGTAACTAAATCAGTTGAATTGATGCACACTGTCAATTCTGTCACCATAAAGTTGGGTGCCATCTGCCATCTGCAGAGTATCAAAACTTCTTCTAGATCAAAGAAAGCTAATCCAGAATCAACCATAGTCAGTGCAAGAAGGTTATACAAGGTAGATGATATTTCATCAGAGAGGTTTGTCACTTTGCCTTATTTGTCCAAGGCCTACTATTCACTTCATTATTGTTGATCCGCATCAGTACTGTCATACTACTATGATTCCCAATAACCTTTTGGTTTGTGCATTTGGTATTTAATATTTCTTTGTTGTTTGATCCAGGTATACTACAGTGAAGATATAATAAGTGTGCCAGTTTGTGATGGTTGAGGGGAAATGTGAGGTTATAGCAAAGAATGACCTTCCAAATTCAAATCTTCCGGTAGTGGTTGAGCATGCCTTTTACTGTGAACATTTATATGATCCTGATGCTGGAGCTCTTAAGCAGGTTAGTTACTGCCAACATTCATCTTTTGATTTCTCCAGTTTTGCATTTATTTTGTTGAGAAACTGCTTCAGGTAGTTGACTGAGCATGTCTTTTCTTTTAACCAGCTACCGACAAATGTTAAGCTCATGAACTTGACAAGGAAGGCGCATGCTGCAAAAAAGAATGAAGGCAAGTAGATTTCTGACGATGAGCAAGCTGGTTCAGACAAACAGAACGCAACACCAGAGAACTGTCTTGCAACCCTTGATATTTTTGCTGGCTGTGGAGGTTTGTCTGAAGGGTAGTAGCTATCTGGTAATTATATTTCCATCTGCATGTTTATTATTAGATGCTTGCTGGTAGATAGAACAAACTTGACCTCCACATACTTTCTGATCATTTGACAGTACTGGCGCACCATGTACAAATTGGGCAATTGGATATGAAGAACCTGCCAGGCAAGCATTTGGTGAAAATCATCCAGAGGCAGTGGCATTAGTGGAGAACTGCAATGTGATTCTAAAGTATGCAACCCCCCTTTTTCTCCTTTGGACGTACTAAACCTATTGGTACTGTATCTCCCAACTCATTTGTGACTCGGGTTTGTTTCTTGAAGTATTCTCAAATCCGCATCTCCTCTCTTCAGGTTGTGGTCAGGGAGGCAAAGCGAAGGACAACCTCCGGAGTGTCGCGGAAGAGTGGTGTGATTAGAGGGTGTCGCGGAAGAGTGTCGCGCAAATAAGTGGGTGGGGGAAGGAAGCAGAGCAGGCAATGCCCCTATTTATATTTGGCGTTGGCATGTCCAGATCGATGGGCCAAAGCTCATTGTGAGCTCCTCCTCCTTCACTCGATTTCTTCTTCCATGCATGCACAACTTTTTCTACATTTCTGTGGTATAATATGTTCTGAAACAGTGTGCTATTATTGAACTATGTTACTCTGTTTCTTTTCTGAAGTAGGAAGTGATGAATCGAACAAGGAGGAAGGGTAACACGATGACGTGTTTGGTCTTCAGCCATTTCTTTACTAAGAAACCCAGGTTAGGATTGTCTAAATGTCCAGAAGCTCAATCTTACTACTAAATGTAGTTATTCGCTTCATTAGTGAAATGGCTATCTTCTATCGTCAGATCTATGATACAAGACTAAGTTTTTCTATGATTTGTATTAGTGTGATCCATACATTAAATGGTGAAGGATTACTACTACTATATCAGTTTAGGTCTAATATAGAGTTTAGACTTCCATTTTTTGCGGGGATCTAGAGTTTAGGCTTGACTAATCTTTATAGCAGTTTTTTCATGTGAAAATTATGACTGATACAAACTAGATGTTATTATATAATATCGGGACAAGATACTATCCTACCATTATGCAAAAAAGAAAAACATAATACTGATCTGCCGCTAACAAACGATGTCACAACTTAGACAATCTCTGAGGTCGAATTTCTGTTTTCCAACAATGGGTTTTTCATTTCTATCCTACTACTTATAGCTGGATTAATGCATTTATCTCTCTCTATCTCCGTTTCTGTTGTTACTTACTGCCCTTTTAAGTTTTCTATTCCCAGTTGGTTTCATTTTTTATTTGCTAACATCCACAAAAATGAATATCCACTTTATTTTTTTATTCCCAGAGAGCCGAAGGTGGAGCGGCGACAAGAGCTGGTCATTTGTTAACAGTCGCAGACACGCGTGTACCCTGCTCGCTGGCCGTTGCAAACTGAACGGCTATATGCATTAAATGGCCATACACAAAGCTAGCTTACACAGTAAGCGGAGGAGTTGAACTAGGTTGAGCTGCTGCTTCATATGGCCTGGAACGCCGGGCCGTCTTCTGTGTTGTCGTCGTGGGCACCACGGGACCGTCTTGGCCTTCTTCCGTGTCACCATCGAGAGCTAGCAGGAAATGTGTGTCGAGAGGCACATGAATACGCCCGTGGATTGTTTTTCAGTGTGCTCAGTTTTAAAAAACGAGTTATGCGGTTCTTTTTTAATACAGAGAAAAAAAATGATAATTTTGCAAGTACTACAGTATTAAGATCACTGTTTTTAATACTGTAATTTAAACCACAGTTTTTAGTGGTAGCCAAACAGCTCACTGTAATTAAAATTGTGTTAATCTCAAAAACTGTGTTATTCTCAAAATACATAGAAAGTACTTTGCTATCAAACAGGGCTACAAGTGCAGATTTCCTTGAAGATAGTATATTTTATAATTGTATTGCCAACGTGCTTCCATAGTTTTATCACCACAAAATAATTCTAGCTGCTTCCATAGTAAGGTAACAAATAATCTGTGTTATAGCAGAATATAGATGTAGTGTGCTTGTCTGAATATAATGCAGAGTTTAGAAATGAACTAAAATCTGTGAGCAGGAAGTAATAGGCTTATTTTCCAGTTAGAAAAATATATGTACTGTAGCATCATGTATTCAGGTAATCCCTTGTATTTTTTCACCAGGTTCATGTTTTATATATTGTCCATACACCCACATAAACTAAAGTTTGTAGTGTCAGCAGTAAACAGGGGCACAACTTAGTATGGGTAGAAAAATAAGAGCTTGTGAAAAGAATAGTATCTCTATTACAGGATAAGAATGACTCTTTGGTTTTATGCTGATGTGTGAAAGCACCCCATTATCATGCAAATAGTACCAGGTTTAGAGCCTTGATTATGGCGGCTATAAACCCAAAACAATCCATCTTATTATTTAGTATACAAAGCGCGTTCTGGTGGGAATGACTCCAATTAGAATTCTAGCCGTCGGCATATATCTGATTGGTCCCAGATTGAAAATCTCAATTGTCAGGACTTGCTTGTATGCATTCCTAAATAGTGTAAAACTGAAGCTTGCTGCTCGTGAGGTGTCAGCCATAAACATGTATTATGGCCATTGTTTATACGGTGAAGTGCCAGTAGGGTTTTTACCCTACTGTGTTTGCTAAAAAAAGTGCCTAAAATTCAGTGACCATAGCTTTCCACTTTAGCTCATAAATTGGATGGCAAAATAGAGTTTGCCCATTTCATATCTATGTTGTCTTATTAGGAAAATAGAGGTTTTTTTATAGCTGATGCTTAATATGTTTCATCAAATGGTATGCTCTAACTTTAGCTCATAAACTGGATGGCAAATGCTAATTCTGATGGAGCTTTTGCCACTTATTGTTTCATGGTTGTCTAGACAGCTGATGGCATGCTTCTTTTTGTGAATTGTCAATTCTTTTATACAGGGTCCCTCGACTACTTATGTTTTGCCAGACAATGAGAGTATGTAGATAGCATGTATGGTTTTTACATTGCTTTGCGCAGGTTGAGATGCATTACATGATGTTTTCCTTTTACATTTATGAGTATTATAGAGTCCTTTCTTTTTCCACAAGGGGCAGTAGTTGTGCCATTTGATTCGAAGGACAAAGAGTTGATCATAAATGGGTAGCATTCAGGATATATACACAAAAGAGTATAGAACCAAATTATATGATGTAATTGACTACTATTTCTATTAACTTCTCCTGTACACAATGTTCACGAGTTCATGTATTAAGTACATTTTATTGTGTCACTTGTGTTTACTCTTTTTTTAATGCAAGTTTACAACTACTCGGAATTCCTAATTGTAGACTCAACTATCTTGACCTACCGATGATCTAATTTGTGACATTATTACCTTAATAAAATATTTGCATTTAATTTTCTTTTTATATAGGGGTATAAATTCTTACCAAATGTACTCAAATATACGGTTACTGAAAAATGCAAATATTTTCAACACGAACATGGTTTTAAACGGGTCTTTGCGCCATTTGGCGCAACTGGTCATCTAGTGGAATCAAAGATGAAGCTCCACTCCCCTTTGGCCTCTACGAGTTAAAACTGGATGTTCAGTGGGTCAGTTCAGTGCGCAGCCATGGCTTCTCCAGAGGTTACAGACATACCAAAGTTACGATGCTTGCCATCTGCCTTGTTGGTGAGCTTAAAACCTTTCGAGGGTAGCTGATTTATGAGAAGAGTCTCCAGTTGGCATGCAATGCTCTTGCCAGGAACCATGATGTATAATATTGTGGCATCCTGCATACCTTCCTTGGATCTATGAGCACCAAGACGGCCCATGAGATCATCCGTCTGCAGGCAGGGGTGGAGTCAATTTTTCATGCCCTTAGACGAAGAAACAGAAGAATACATGAATGTGTAATAATCAAGGAAATACCTGTCCAACGTAGAGCTTGTTGTCACGTCTGATAATGATATAGATGCTGGACCTGCCAACAGTTGAAGGTGGCGGTTGCTCCCTAGCACCTACAGTAACGCAGACCACCTCAACCAGTTCTGAGATGCTTCTCTTGTTGTAGAGATCCAATAGTTTATCTTTGCATATTGCGGTAACAATGCTCTCAACATCCTTCCGCAGCAGTCCAAAGGCACCTAACGGAGGTTCGAACATATTTCCCAGACCATCAGGCATATCAACCAAGCCATTTACATTGGAGTAGCCAACGGAAGGCCCATTGTTGGCTGTCGATGATGTCTGTTTGTTGCTTCTGCTCATGGTCAAATATAGCTCCTCTGCTCTTTTAATTATCAAGTCAGGCATACCTTCCTTCCTGGCTGTTTGAAAAGCAAGGCTTTCTCTACAGATACCATCCATAAGTCTCCATGTTGGCTGAATGCACCTATTGACCACTTCTGTTCCCATAGCCTTGAAATCAGTATTGTTGAGTGAAAGAGGCAGGTCAAAAATGCCATGCAAATGGGTTGATACGATGCCTAGGCAGCCAACATCATCCAGCCTTTCGATGATGCTACCAGCGATACAGGTTCCTTTTGCAGTTTCTGTGCCTCTACAAATCTCATCAATGAGAACAAGACTCCTG